CCTGTCCCCCTTCCTGGTCCCAACCTGTCCCCCTCCCTGGTCCACCCCGGTTCCCACTCCCCTCTGGTCCCCACCTGTCCCCCCTGGTTCCTATGTATTCCCCATGAGCCCCACCAGTCCCCACCGGTCCCCACCAGTCCCCATTGGTCCCCACCAGTCCCCATCGGTCCCCATTGGTCTTCCCCAGTCCTACCGGTCCCCATTGGTCTTCACCAGTCCCCACCGGTACCCACCAATTCCCACCGGTCCCCACCAGTCCTACCAGTCCTACCAGTCCCCACTGGTCCCCACCAGTCCCCACCAGTCCCCACCAGTCCCCATTGGTCTTCACCAGTCCCCACCGGTCCCCACCAGTCCCCACCAGTCCACATCAGTCCCGACCAGTCCCCACCGGTCCCCACTGGTCCCTACCGGTCCCCACCAGTCCCCACCAGTCATCACCAGTCCCCATTGGTCCCTACCAGTTCCCACCAGTCCCCACCAGTCCTCACCAGTCCCCACCAGTCCCGACCAGTCCCTACCGGTCCCCACCGGTCCCCACTGGTCCCCACCAGTCCCCACCAGTCCCCACCGGTCCCCACCGGTCCCCAACGGTCCCCACCGGTCCCCACCAGTCCCCATTGGTCCCTACCAGTTCCCACCAGTCCTCACCAGTCCTCACCAGTCCCGACCAGTCCCCACCGGTCCCCACCGGTCCCCACCAGTCCCCACCAGTCCCCACCGGCCTACACCGGTCCCCATTAGTCCCCACCAGTCCCCACCTATTCCACCAGTCCCTCACCGGTCCCCACCTATACCACCAGTCCCCACCAGTCCCCACCAGTCCCCACCAATCCTCAATGTCCCAACCAGCCTACACCGGTCCCCATTGGTCCCCACCAGTCCCCACCTATTCCACCAGTCCCTCACCGGTCCCCGCCTATACCACCAGTCCCCACCAGTCCCCACCAGTCCCCACCAGTCCCTCACCGGTCCCCACCTATACCACCAGTCCCGCCAGTCCCCACCAGTCCCTCACCGGTCCCCACCTATTCCACCAGTCCCTACCAGTCCCCACCACGTAACCCCCATGTTAGTAAATAAAGGTGAGTGGGTAATGTAAGTTACGTAACCCCCATGTTAGTAAGTCGCGAAAAAAATCGGTTTTCCGATGCTGACCGCCAAAAATGAATTTCAGATTCGTAATCTACACCCCAAAAAACATATAATTAAAAAAAAACACCCTTTTTTTTGGATGTAGTTAATCTGCAATAATACCGCCTAAACATATGCCACTGAACTCAAGAAGTTAACACTATAAAGAAAATGGTCACAGTCTCCACTCTCCAGTGCAGACTCAATTCATAAAATTAGATGGCTTACTTTCTTGTGCATGTATTTGATGACAGATACTGGAGAACAAAGAAGACCAATTTGATGCAGTATACTTTCATAATTTAATAAAACCAAAACAAGACAAATAAATAAACTGAAAATAAATATGGCTCGAAACAATCGTTTACATTTTGGCAAAACTTTCCAGAACACATTTAGAAGCCGAGTAACACAGCATGGAAATAGAATTTCTACATTTTTCATAATCTAAATTTATTATTGTTGATAATGCCACGTCCATGTGTTCAACACGATTCATATTCATAATATAACCGAAACAGCTGATCTACAAAAACTGTTTACAATATTTATGGTGGGTTTTCCGTAAAAATCTACGTAAAACCGCTGAAAGTGTTTTTTCTCACATGCTTAATCGATCTTCATTACAGAAACACTTAAATAGTAATTTGATAAAATTATATAACTATTGGTAAATAAAAAATCTTTTGAGCATAAAAATTACATTGTTAAAAAAAGAAAGTTTGCCGTTAATCGCATGAGTAAAAGTCAGTAAAATAAAGTTTTTCAAAACGATAAACGAATTTAAAATCGTTTGAAAACTCAGACCTGCAGGTTAGAATTATTTTTAATTGTCTAATATTCTTAAGACACGCAAATTCACATTTGATTTTCAATTTAAGACAATTTCAATTGATTCAATTGCACATCTCAATCCAACTAAACCGCATTCATTTCATAAAAATTATATTTTCAGCGGAATATTTGAGCGTCTTATATTTTTAAAACTGCAAATTTTTCATTATATTTATTAAGTTTTGAATAATTTAGGTGCTTAGTTACATTATTCACCATAGGATTCATTTTCTGATTGAATTTATAAATTATTTAAGCCAATTCCTACCTAACGTCTGCATCGTAAGAATCGGCATTAAAGCGATTATTTCGAAGAAACTCAACCCAAGGAGGCAAAAAATTCCAAATATTCTCATTAAAAACACACGATCCACACCACACTTCTCAGAACTCGCCAGCAAACCCACCTGTGTAATCAAACTCGTCTACTAAACTCAGTCAATTGACATGATCCTAACTTCTTCAATCATTAACGAATCTTCCTGAAAATTAAAATGTAACTAATAATTAGCAATGCGGAGTAGGAGGAACTATGACAGATTTTTACGTCATTATGTTTTCGAATAAAACGAATAACGAAATCAAAGTTCGTTTCGATTAAAACGAATACATGCAACTTTTGCGCTACTGTCAAACAACATCTCCAGTTATGAACGGATCATCGTGAAATTAATCAAGAGAGGAGGTTACATGTATATAAAAATTTGACTAAAAGCATGACCTTTTTCGACAAAAATCAATAACATGAGTCGACTGCGGCTATAGAAACCTAATATTAGCAAGAGGCTCGGCGAAATTTAAATAGGTCTAAAGTTTCCAAATTGTAGACTCAAAATCTCCGGATAACATTAAGTTGTTCTTTTTCCAAGCACAATTTATAATATATAAGGAAATAAATATATACGTAAATGAATCAATTCAAACATTTTATGGCAAATTGACAAAACTTTTTCAGTTAATGAATTATGAACAAATAATTAGGAGCGTGACTCTAACTTGCCGAAGTAATTAGCACCTATGCAGTGAGTTGCGCGTTCGAGACCGCAACGAGCTGTGAATATTCTGCGATATTAAGAATCGGCGACAGGCCTACGGCCTAATAAACGCTGAAACCGCTATTATTATTAGTATGAAATAAATGCAAGATTTGAACTGTGTGGAAAGGTAAACTTCGGTGTTGAGAATAATGCAACTGGAGGTAGGAACTAAAATATTACAAGAATCATCTATTAATTTGCGATTTCACTATTTAAAATAATATATCGACAACAATAGGGTAAATGAAAAGATTGTTCAAAAGACATTTTTACTATTTGATCCGTACACAATGTAATTTAACATTGCTGGTTAACTTTTAAAAAATAATAACAAGAAGTAACATCAACAAAACAAGCCAGCTAACAGGGATGACTATAGTAAAAACAACAGTACGACCGTTAGCCGTATTAAAATAAAAACGGGCGAAAGCGGTCTTGAATATAAAAATTAAATTTAACCTTCAAGTAGGGTTCAATTTGCGCTGTAAAGTGTAATAGTTCCTGAGATGACTGAGAAATTATTCCTTAACTAATCGTTAAAGTGGACTTTTATAAGGTATTTTAAAGCAGCCGATGAATTACAAATTTATCATGAGAACCTGCCTGTCAAGGGTGGTCCTGATTTGCGTTTAACTGCAAGCAATTAACATGGTTTCTAAAATACCTGAACGGTCAGTGTATAAAAAGAGATCTACATAATCACCGTGAGAAAATTTTACCCCTGTTGATTTAGATAAATAATTTACTTATCTTATTTAATTGTTTATATTTAATTAAATAATTGAATCTTTCATCCGGGTTCTCTCAGGGCACATAAATTTATTCAAGAGCTTGGTCATTTTATAGGCTACCCTAACAGCGGCTATATTTGCGTACATATGGAATTTTTCGGCAAACAATTTGATCCATCATGGGGCACTAGTCCATTTGGCCACGGATCCATCTGGACATTAGTTCATGTGGGCATGAATTTATCGAACCACAGTTCATAGGGTTACTAGGTTTATGTTCTTCATCATTATTTTATTTTGGACTCATTGTTTATTTTGGCATATTTATAGAACATATGGGCATATTTGATGCATGCGGTATTATTTTTTCATGTGCAGTGTTTTGTACTTCTGTAATGACTTAAAGTTATGCTGATTAGATATTTTAATAATCACATTTTCGATAACACAAATAACGCGAAGTTTGTAGCTACCTTCCCCTAGATATTGATGTTATCGTTATCGTGTTGATTGTTATCGTTTCAAAAATAGTCGTATCGCTATCAAATTTAAAAAATTTCCTCGACGAACACAAAAATTTTAGTTCGACGTCGATTGGATGTGTTTACTCTGTTTCTTTTCTCTTTTTTAACTTTATAGAACAACTTATATTACGTTTAAAGATTTTCAATTGATAAAATTAAATAAGTAATTGCTGTTTAGTGCGCAATCCAATTGAAGCTTTATCTTTGAAAAATTAATAATTCATAGGCTTTATTCAATTGTTTTCTTAGAAATCTAATCCAAGTCTTTTTAATCTGGAACCACTAAGCATTTTGCCGTATACCAAATTGCATCTTCAAGTTCGTAGGCATTTTCTGGCAGAAGCTCGTTGCACTTCTATCAAATATACTTTCGTTAAAAAATAATAGAAATTTTTTCACCTTTTGCTAGTTAACAAAACGCTAAATAAGCAAAAATATAATATTCCACTACCTTCCTTGGTAGCCAGGGGTGTCTGGATTTTACTTTCGCTAAAAAATAACAGAAATTTCTTCACCTTTTGCTAATTAACAACAACGCTAAATAACCAAAAATATAATATTTTACTACCTTCCTTGGTAGCCAGGGGTGTCTGGATTTTACTTTCGCTAAAAAATAACAGAAATTTCTTCACCTATTGCTAGTTAACAACAACGCTTAAATAGCCAAAAATATAACATTTTACTACCTTCCTTGGTAGCCAGGAGTATCTGGATACACGGCAGTGCCCTCAAAGGTATAAGTGGGGTGGAAGCCTGTGGCGTCAGCGTAATATTCAACTTTCATAAGGCGGGTATCGGGGAGTAGGACGTAGTATTCCCCTTTGGTGTAAGCACCATCCCTCTGCTCCCTCTGGCCGTACTGAACCAGGTTTTTGTTATAGTCTACCGAGTCTACGTTCCAGCTGAAGTCGTATTTCGCGTCATCGTAGTCGTACGAGTATTGCTGATTCTGTGGTCGCGCCAATGTACCACTTACGATGGCCACAACGACTATGAGTAGAGCTGCCTGCAACAGAAAAATATATAACATTATCTATTGTTTACTGACATTAACTTAAAGCCTATCAATTTTACAGCAATTTCGGAATAAACAGAAAATTCCAAAGAAATTTTGCAACAGAAAGACATATAACATTATTGATTGTTTACTGACACTAACTAAGAAACAATCAATTTTGCAGAAATTTCGGAATATTCACTGAAAATTCCGAAGAAATTTTGCTACAGAAAGATATGTATTATAACTTATTGTTTAGTGACACTAACTTAAAGGCTATTAATTTTACAGCAATATTGCAGGTATAATTTACATTCCGAACAACATTTTTACGTCTAAAGTTCGCTACCTAATACATTAAAAATTATGCCTAGCGTTGTGAGAGTTATTGATATTAAAAATTAAACCAGATCATTTGCACAAAAATAATGCACCGATTACAGAGTTTTAAACCCATATATTAATTTAGTCCACCATTCAAGATGGCATACAAAGACTGCAGTAAGCAGGCCTGCGTTCAGAGTGAAAATGAAAGTGGGGGCTTGCAATCACCATTAAAAATATTCGCAAATGATTTGGTCAATATTTCTTAAACATAACACGTGAAAATGTAAAAAGCTTTCACCCGCAGCACCAAACTATTCCCTCCAACAGTGTTCAGTATCCGAATGTCAGTGTAAAATATACTATAAAACATAAAATATAGGAAAGATCGGGTTCCAAAGGCCGGATCCCTTGTGAATCAAGTCACGAAAAGTTCAAGAATCGGCAACAGGCCATGGGCCTATGTCTTCAACGCCGACACTTCTATTCAGGGTATCGTTTGCCCTTAGTTCGGTGTCCTTATTGCAGTCAATATATAGTTATTTATTTTCACACGAGAGTGAAAATAAATTGGAGAAAATAAATTCGAGAAATTAATTATTTATCCGAGAAAATAAATTCGAAAATTTTAATGACCACGTTGCTTAGTTAGTAGTTAACAAGCCGGTTTTTGTTACACACATAAACTGGAATCAGCGAACTGATTTCGCATTATCGAATCTAATATTATTGATTCCCAGTATGAATAGTTTAACAATTTTGTTAATCGTAAAATGATATAATTAAAATAAGTGTAAAAGATTACTAGAAATACAAGCGTCTCCCTCACGTTCACACCTACCTTCATCATGAGCGTGTTCACTTGGCGGCGGTCAAAGAAGGAATGCGACGAGCCATAGCGATGAGCTGGCTTATATACGGCGGGCCGAACTGCGCCCCGGTTGCCCCTGGTCATCGTTGCTTCTGTGCAATAAATAAATATTTTTTAATCTTATTTGTTGAGTCTAAAATATTAATAAATAAAACATGCGAACTAATAATTTTAAGACTATTTTAAAGAATAAAAGCCCAAAAATGGAAAGTTTCATTAAAATTACTACCAGTGAACTGATGGGAATGTTCTACAGACAATTAAAGAGCACTTGAAACTGATTCTGTATAAAACTAATTTCAGTTCAGTTAATGTTATGACAGCTAATATTGAATTTTATAACAATATAATGGCCAGCCGTCACCGTTACCTCACAGCGATATAACGGCTAGCCGTCACCTCACAGCGATATAACGGCCGGCCGTCACCTCACAGCGATATAACGGCCAGCCGTCACCTCACAGCGATATAACGGCCAGCCGTCACCTCACAGCGATATAACGGCCAGCCGTCACCTCACAGCGATATAACGGCCAGACGTCACCTCACTGCGATATAACGGCCGGCCGTCTCCGTCACCTCACAGCGATATAACGGCCGGCCGTCTCCGTCACCTCACAGCGATATAACGGTCACCGTATCCCCGATGACGCACAATAAACATAAAATAAGACATGTCACCTCACAGCGATATAACGGCCGAGCCGTCACCTCACAGCGATATAACGGTCACCGTATCCGCGATGACGCACAATAAACATAAAATAAGACGTGTCACCTCACAGCGATATAACGGCCGGCCGTCACCGTCACCTCACAGCGATATAACGGCCGGCCGTCACCGTCACCTCACAGCGATATAACGGTCACCGTATCCCCGATGACGTACAATAAACGTAAAATATAACGTCTCGGCCAAAACTTCCTGCTTTCAAACGCAGAACGGAAGCGATCACTTTCAGTGCGGAAAGATGGGTCAGTGATCGACCTTATTACTAGGTTGCTAGTTCGTAGTGTTGGTCACTAGCTTCACTAATGGCAGTGTATACGCTTCACTAATGACACTGGATGGGCCGCACTAATGACCCTGCATGCGCACGCTTGCATAATGTATGAGCATATACGCTCATGCATTATGAATAGCTTTCTTTCATGAAGTTGGTCTGCAGCAGCGGCTTCTGTCATTTAATGTTTTGTTTGAAGTTATTGTTATTGTTATTATTTGTTATTTGTTATAGAAGATGTTTGTTATTGTTAGATAAATTAATACGCGTATTGGGTCGTGCATTCAAACGTTGTCATTATCACAACAATGGCTAAGCCAGGGCAAATAACAAAAAGAAAAAAAAATAGAAAATGAGTTTATAGATACATACATAATTTGCTTATTTTTGGGTCACGGGAATGCCGCATTTTAAAAACCTACAAATTTATCTTGAATTCTAAATTCAATCTAAAACTTAACTGAGAAGTAAGCTATTCGAAACTTTTCCATACATGATACTATCTTTTTTCAAATAACTAAATAAGAGCTTAGAAAAATTCAAGTTTTTGTTGTCGAGTAACTAACGTAGCAGGCAAGTCCTTTCGATCTGATGGTTGCTTGCCTCTTTTCATTTTTCACGTAGCATTTGCACGTAACCTTTTTCACGTAGCATTTTGCATGTAGCATTTTGCACGCAGTATTTTGCATATAGCATTTTGACCACTTTTCCAACTTCCGGATCAATCTGCAAAATGTCTTTTATTTTGAGAATCAAAGCATTTAAAATAATATATCATTAATATAATATTTAATTGAAAAGAGACCCCTTAGATTAAATCTCTGATGAATTTAGATCGACTGAATTAATTAAATTGAACTTAATTGTGATTGATTTTCACTCGTTGATGACTACTGGAAACTTTGTTTGGAAATTGTTCAGGAATTGAGCAACGCTGTTGCAGATTTCGACGTTTGAATGCGCTTGAAATATATTGTATTTTGGGGGCGAAAAAAAATATATATATATATAATATATATATTCGTATAATTTACCCAACGCCAAGTTTTAGGCGTAGTGGAAAAGGCAATGTGCAGAACTGAATCCCATTCGGAGAATTCAATTACGAATTACTTTACTAAATAATATTCAGTTGAGCAATTCATAATATTCAGCATAAAACTGCTTAATATTTCGTATAGGACTCCGTAATATTCAGTATATAACCGCATAATATTCAGCATAGAACTCCGTAATATTCATGTGAAAACTGCGTATATTCAGCCTAGAACTGCTTAATATTCGGCATAAAACTCCGTAATATTCAGTAAAGAACTGCTTAAATACAGTAGATAATTGCGTAATATTCATTGGCAGGTGTGAATATTAATAGCTCAATATTAGTCCCCGGCGTGCACAGAAAGCATAGAATAATTAGGGCAGAACAGGAAGCGTATAGAGGAAACCGCTCCGTAAACATGGCCGGTAAGAAGTACATTGCGTCACTAGCTGTTTATGATCGCAGTGGATATAACGATATCCGCGGGCGACCGCAGTGGATATAATGATATCCACTGCGTGATGTTTCGGCGCCTGGTGATGTTACGGCGCCTAGAAATTACCGGCGGTAATTTCTAATGGAATTTGAATGTTTCCATGACATTTATTTCATAAGTTAGCAAAAATTTTGCCTGCATCTGAGAGTTATATATTTTATTCAATTTGACACTTCAAAGAAACCAATTTATTTCTATATATTGTCCTTTTTTCAATGTAATTTTGTTGCTTTAGAACAATTTTATAACCTTGAGGTATTGCCTTCAATTCCAGTTACTGCTACTCTTATTTTATTATTAGTATTATTGTTATTATTATTATTATTATTGTTATTATTATTATCATTATTATTATCATTCTTATTATCAATATTATTACTATTATTATTATTATCATCATTCGTATAATTATCACTATAATTATTATTCTTATCATTTCTATTATTATTATTTTTATAACTGTCCGTCCGTTTGCTGCAGGGTTGCCGGTGGCTCCCCAGCTCTCCGCCAGTCTTGCGTGAAAAGTGAAAGTTGCAAAAACATTCAATAAAAAAACTGAATCGGATTAGCGAGCGTCTAGGCAAGGTATAGAACAAGATACTAGGCAAGGTATAGACCAAGATACTATATAGGCAAGGTATTAACCAAGATACTATATAGGCAATGTATAGACCAAGATACTATATAGGCAAGGTATAGACCAAGATACTATATAGGCAAGGTATAGACAAAGATACTATATAGGCAAGGAATGGACAAAGATACTATATAGGCAAGGTATAGACAAAGATACTATATAGGCAAGGTATGGACAAAGATACTATATAGGCAAGGTATAGACAAATTAAGATACTATATAGGCAAGGAATGGACAAAGATACTATATAGGCAAGGAATGGACGGTATAATAGGCTTAAAATATTTTGGAACGTATGTACTGTATATGAATCGCAGAAAATTTTTCAATTAAATACTGTAAAATAGACTCGCGTAGTACAGACTTGATTTGATATTAATTAAGTTAGTTACGAGATTGGGGAAATAGTCTTTATGTATAATGTGAACACATAACACAATAACTGTGCCCTGGATATTTTTAAATGAATAATCATACTGTTTCATCTGGGTTAACGCTTTGACTCCTATTGCTTCATCTTCTGGTATTATTTCATTTTGCGTACTATTATGAATTGGAAGGTTGCCAGACGGTCTTTTTCCGGACAAATTCCGCGATTTTTTTTTCATTTGCGTTGGTCGGCTAAGATGTATGATAGGGATACTTCCAATTAAATTTAAAAAACTGCAAAAAAATTAAATTTTTTCCTCGGAACCTACATATATGCTAGGATACATCGAGTTATAGGCCTTTTTCGGCCTTGAGAAATGTAATTCGTGGTACGCATATGTAAAAGTTCGGAGTTCACTCAAACCTACCTATTTTATACCACAGCTATAGAAGGTAGAAGTCGTAAAATGTTTTTTTATACGGGATGCAATGAAAAGGTGGAAACAGTAAAATATTTATAACAGCGTAGATTTGTGAAGTAAAAGGTTAAGTGTTTATTACAGGACAATTTTATGGGTGAAAGACGCTAAATGATGATATTGATTCTAAGGTAAAAGTTGTTGAGAAGGCATTAAAAAAACAAATTTACACGTAAGTATTACTATAGATCAGAGAAAGCATTCACTCGATGACTTTCAACTCCATCGCTGTTTTTCTCACAGTAATTAATTAAGGTGATTAACGTGAGCTTGCATAGCTGTTGGTGATGAAAGCATGATACCATAATCAGATGTTTTATAGTAGGTTAGATGAGTAACTTGTCTATTTTATATATTATCTAATTAAGCAACACTTTTGATATATGAAATTCTGCAAGTTATTCACAAGATTTATTCAAAAATACAATGTTCAGTTATAGATATATATATAATTATCATCTTCGCGTGATATAATTTTGTTATCCGTTATCCGTTTGATAAATACTGCATTTGATTTTTATTTAAAAAGTGATAAAATAGCTTGAATATTAAATATTTATTAAAATTAATGAATACTTTCCAAATAAAAAATCTTTTTTTAATAAATAATATATTCAAATTAATTCGAGCCCATGCAATAGTTAATACGTATAGTATTCTGGCACGTATTTAAATGTTTTAAAATTGAAACGTGCACATCGAATGCTTCAAAGGTATATTTTTCTTGCATTTATTCGTACGTTTTTCAAACTATGCCGCGCATGTGGAATGTTTCTTATGTATAATTTATATAATGTATAATATTTATATACATGTATAATTTACACATGTGTAATCTGTATATTTTAGATAGAATTCTGATTTCGTAGGTATGATTTCTGAAGGCATAAATGCATGTCTATAGACATTCCTCATCGTCGCAGCATTCCTCAGGAATGGCCTAAAGCTAATACCTCACCCATTCCTGACCCTCTCCCCCCGGGGGAGGGATACGGGGGCTTGCTAACCCCTTCCCCCACCCACGGTCCCGACCATTGACCCGGCCACGGAATGTTATCAA